TGTTACTAGCAATTCGCTCTAAACTTTTCGTAAATTAGAGTTTTCGTCGTTGTTAAAGTTGTGGTATTATCTTTAAAAAATTACAGTTTTCAAGCATTCGTTCATGGACATTGTAATCTAGAGTATGTAAAACATGTTTTTTTCATTGTCACGCCATTTAAAAACTAACGTAGGACATAGATATCCACGGATTGATTTTTTTTTTGTTTACTCATTATGATAAATTAGGAAAATAGTTACTAGAGTGGTCCAGANCTTCGTAGTCATCACGTTACAACTTTTGCATATCATCCTCAAGGGAATGGTATGGTAGAACGGTTTCACAGGCAGTTAAAAGCTACGATAATGACTAGAAATGGAACCAACAATTGGTATGATGAGCTGCCGATGATACTTCAGGGTTTACGATCGATGTATAAAGAAAGTATTTCAGCCACACCATCTGAGATGGTCTTTGGGCAAAATTTACGCCTACCCGGTGAACTTGTGGTTCCATCTGAAGAAAATTTTTCCCAACTGAAGTTTTAGGCAATTTACGGAAACATTTTAAAAATGTTAAATCAAATTTGAAGCATAATCAAAATTCTGATACTGGTGTATATATGCCAAAGGATTTGGAAGCTTGTAAATTTGTTTTTATGCGTGTTATTAATAAAAGATCATTGCAACAACCATATGAAGGACCTTATAAGGTTGTTGAAAAAAAAAAAAAATAATATTTCAAACTTGAAGTAGATAATATGAGGTTAAAACAATTCCGATAGACAGACTAAAACCAGCAATCATTGAAACAGAACTAATACCAGAAACAAACACTAATATAATGAATAACACAACATCAAATAAGAAACGAGTTACTTTTAATTTATTTAACATTAATTCTCTAGAAGGGGGAGTATTGTAGGGTTTGTATTTGTGTTAATTTCAACTTTGTAAGTTTAGAAATTTTGTATTTAAGTGATTTTGTAGTTCAAACATCAAAGAGAAAATTTTATTATTCAAACATTTTTCTTGCAACTGTTAACAACCGAATTTTATACAATATTAAATATCAAATTGAATTTCTTAAGAATCCTTGATATACTCACTACTACAGCGTCCTTTATAGATTTTGCGAAAAAATTATTTTATTGATAATTTTCCACAGATTTTACTTTAACTTTTACAACTGTATTAATTAGTTTTTAAATTTTAATCCTTATTTACATTTGCCAGCAGTGTAAACTTTGAGATGAAAGTTCATTTGGCACGCAGGTCTTCGTCAGTTAATTTATTCCATATATTCTGTAACCATAGCACAGTGGTCAATTTTTGGAAAAATCTGGCCAAAAATCCAAAAGAAAATTGTTGCATTCGTATGCATAACCATCTTATATTGTTAAGAGGGCTATACTGCGTATCGTTGTGAGACAAAAAGTCGATTCTCTTAAGGCATTTAGTGTTACAGGAGATCGAAGTGACTGTTACTAGCAATTCGCTCTAAACTTTTCGTAAATTAGAGTTTTCGTCGTTGTTAAAGTTGTGGTATTATCTTTAAAAAATTACAGTTTTCAAGCATTCGTTCATGGACATTGTAATCTAGAGTATGTAAAACATGTTTTTTTCATTGTCACGCCATTTAAAAACTAACGTAGGACATAGATATCCACGGATTGATTTTTTTTTTGTTTACTCATTATGATAAATTAGGAAAATAGTTACTAGAGTGGTCCAGATGGGCGGTCTAATTTTTATTTTTTTTCATATATGTGACCTGGTCTACGGAAAGGGGGCTTAGGTGTCAAAAAATCAATTTTCACTTTTTGGTTGATTCGGATGGAAGATGAGATGCTTTTTCACGTGGTGAAAAGCAGAAAATCCTAACTTGCTTAGAAGTGTACTAAAAATGTAGAGAAAGAAGAGTAAAAATACGACAAAATATAATTTATTNACAACAACACTTACTGGACCAACAACAACACTTACTGGACGTCCGGCGCGGAGAACAATTAACGAGATAATGAGAAACTGACGAAACGAGTTGCTTACTTTTAACAGCTTTTTCACAGAAAACTAGTTTTCGCGCGTAAGCTCCCTTTTCATAGACCAGGTCACATATACTGAAGTTTTTCCCATCCACCTTGGTTAAAACCACCTGCCACAAGCCGCCACTGTAGTTTGGACATTAGTTTTTATACGCGATTCTTAATTTTTTTTATGTTTAAAAGATTTAAATTATGTAAAAAATTATTTCTGTCAAGATTTTGATGTTTTAAAGATTGAATGTCATTACAATTTAAATGATGTCAGAAAGTACCACTATATTAGAGTGCGCTCGTCGTGAAATTTTCGATGTATTGTTTAATGCAAGTCTTATCATGCGGTTTTGCCGTTGATATACATTTTTTCAAACAATATTGCCTGTATACTGCGAAACTGTTGATTAAAAGCTATCCATGGTATTACATGCCAACATCAATTCATGAAGTGCTCATCCATGGGCCTCTCATTATTGAATGGGCACCCCTGCCAATTGGGAAACTTTCCGAAGAAGCCCAAGAGTCAAGGAATAAGGATATTAAAAAATATCGGGAAAACTTTTCAAGAAAATCTTCCAGGATAAACACGATGACAGATATTTTTCATTGGCTGCTTGTATCCTCGGACGGTCTCATTTCAAGTTTACGTTTAAACCCACCAACACAAAATCATAAACTGTCGTCAGATGCCATTAAATTATTATCAACTGTTGTAAATGCGGATGCGGAATTGCCATCAAAAAATATTGATATGAGCTTGGATACTTCAGATGACTGCGAGTCTGAGGGTGTATAAAATTGTTATCTTAAAAATATATTCCTGTACCAACAAATATGTATGTCTTGTTTATTAATTCATCTCCCGTGTAAATTTGAACGTCAGCATTGTTAGAAACAAACATTAAGACCTCGTTAGTGTTTGTCCGAGCTTCTCTTCCGATTTGTGGCGTGCGCCTTGATGTTGGCGCACAAAGGGGAGGGACCAACAGTTTTACGCCGAATCCGAACGGGGACTTTATTTTTATGAGAAGCTGTTCTTCGTGGCTGAATACACTCGGGGGTTTGCCATTGCCTGCCAAAGGGCGAATTTATTACAAAAAACTTACATTGCTAACCGCTACATTACATTATATAACAAAAAAGCAGAAAACATGACCTTTTATACTTAACTACCTCAGTTTTGCTAAAAATCTGATTATGTTAAGCGTACACAGCGGCCATTATGGATCCGCCATTTTGAATTTCGAAACTATGCTGTGAAATTTAAAACCAGCTCCCAAAATAAAGACGGATACACTAGGTTTGATTACAATTGTACCACGCGTCGACTTTTGGCCAGCTTTTTCGAAAAATTGGCCACTGTGCATAGGCAAATTTTCTCGATTTTGAGTCCCTTATACTCCCCCTTTTGTCCAACATAAGGCCTCATACTCATAAATCGAATTGACTCGGAACTGGTGACTAAGACGGCCATTAATTCCAACCTTATATAGTTTTTTTTCTTTTTTGTATTTTTTTATACAAAGCCTAAAAAAATACACCTGAAAAAGACTTGCATGCCAAATGAACTTTTCTCTCAAAGCTTCAACTGCTGGCAAATGTAAATAAGGATTAAAATTTAATAACTAATTAATACAAGTAAAATAAAATCTGTGGAAAATTAACAATAAAATACTTTTTTTCGCAACATCTATAAAGGGCCTTTTTATTTATCAAAAAACGGGGTAACAGTTATTCGTCGCCACACTGTATAATCTAAAATAGCGTGACTTTCTGGTTTTCAAATTTCTCAGTTCTTTAGCGAACTATAACTGTGTTTGTTCTTCATGAACACACATGCAATTAGGCACATACTTATTTTTTAAATAATTTATGTACAGTAAAATTAAAATAGCGCACCGCTTTGCTCAACTTTTTCTCTGTATAAAGTAATTTGTATAAAGTAACTTACCCAATGCGTTAATCTGACACGCTGGAGTAAATTACCAAATCCCCGCATGGGCCTCCAACTTTAATGCATATATTTATTTAAAAATTATAGTTAAATTGTCTCTTAAAAATACAAAACGCCCATGAGAGATATGAGTAAAAGCTGCCCCTATATATATCTATATATTTCTATAACTTTTTATGGCCACATGGTTAAGAACAAGTTGGTTTATTTTTAAAATTTAAATGTTCATGGAAATGTCTAAATACTTTTACTCTTTTCTTCTTAGGATTGGATACTTGACAGATACTATATTTTTATCAATATGGAGAAGCTACGACTTATGAAAGATAATCGCTCCGAAATAATTGTCGGTGGGAAGTACAGAATAATTCGTAAAATAGGTGAGTATCACATAAACATCTTTGGGGCAAATAAAATAATTAACTCTCTTGGACAAGGTCATATTTTTATTTGAGTACATACCTTTGGAAAAGTAAGTGTTTTGACGGCGAAAAAGGACGCGTGAAAAAATTAGACCAACAAATACGCGTAAAAAAATTAGGAGTAGAAAGAAGTGTAAACATAGATCTAAATCGGGTTAAGGACTGCCTCTACAGCATCATTCCCCACAAACTCTTTGGGGAATTTACATACTCACTACACCCGAAAACATAGTTGACCGAGGAAAGAAGTTTTCGCGTCTTTTTTCGCGGAAGGGTTTTTATGCATCTATTTCGCGGTTAAATTTTGAGATCGCGGCTTTATTCGCGTCTAGTGACAATATCATTTTGGACCAAATTCAAAACGCCACTTATATTTATTTATTAATTTTTAAGATTTTTCTATTACAATACAGTTCATTCCCTCACAAATACTATATTAATCCAAGTTTAAAACTTTGTAAAACACTGAATAATACTACGTTCAAATTGACGAGCTAAACATGTTAAATGGGCTTGAACCCGTTAAATGAACAAAACACATAAAACATAAACAAGTTAAATCGCATGCAATTGTTGTTGGAAAATTTACCCAGTTAAATCATTTAACTCGTTTGAAAACCAGTTCAACGCAGAGTTGTATCGGAAAGCTTTCTGCTCCAGCCAATCAGAAAGACCCAAAAGCTTTCATTTGACACGCCAACGTTCAAAAAATGTATATTCTGAAAAATATAAAAAATTAAAAATTATCAAAAAATATCAAAATTGTATGCATGTCTGCCCGCCAAAAAAGAGGCCAAGGCTGTAATTAGTTGTTTCCCATGAGGTCTCATCGTACGCAGAGATAACTAGTGCATACGAACTTAACTTTTTGAAGTATCTAAGTAATCCGTATGCGTTACTGCACCTTGTCCCGATGATCACTTATAGTCATTTCTTGAACAATAAAAAAATAATGGAAAATTGTACTATTGAAAAAAAATTAGCGAAAAACCAGTTTTTGCTGTTTAGTATAAGTGACCTTAGGGTTAAGGTAGCGGAATGGTATTTTCGGGGGTTGTAGTCGAATTAATTTAATCCTAAATGGAGGTTCTAGCGCCTTTTGTCTAAGTGCGGTAGGTACTCAAACTTCGGCAAAATCAGTTTTTGCTGTTCAATAAATGACTATAAGTGACCATCAGGTCAATTTGCAGGGATGGTATTTTCATGAGTTTTAGCTTTAATTTAAGCCTAAGTGGAAGGCAAAAGACAAATTTTTTTCATCCATTTTTGTTGGCCTGTGTTACCGGAATTTGTAGCCGAAGATGTTATGGTTTTCTTCCATATAAAAATAAATAGTATTTATTCTTTTTATGGAAGCAAATGCGAAAAAATTAATGCTAATTCCTAGACATTTGAAACCGGTACATTATTGTATTTGCTTAGGCGAGACTACTAACACCAAGCGTTTTAATGCATGCTGCGTACTGCTGCATATGCAAAAATTTCCTTTGTGCAATGTACGAAATTTTTGCACATGCACTTCTCAATTGGCACTTTAAAACTTTATTAAGTTATTAACTGATGCACTTCAAAGGATACGCGGCCTAGTCTGATGCATCCGAAGGTTTTTGCGGATCCTGCGTGGCTTACAACCAGTGTGACCGTTTTGATCCAAGTGGATATATTTTTGATAAATTTTTCCACGAATTTTGGAGGGACACTTCTTTTTAAATTTTGATTCGAATCGTGTAAAAAAAACTCCCGTATAATTCGCAAAACTTGCCAGAGATGTTTACAATTTCTTCACACATAGTGCTAAAAGGGTGGATGAATTTTCCCAGTTTCAAAACTACGTTGGTGTTAAAAATCATAAAATTTTTCGAGTGTCAAATATTTGATGGTGATCGTTTACTGTCCCAGTGCAGCGCATTGCAATTATTTTTCATATCTTGTTTCGATGACACACAGTGCGGCCAAAATTCGAAGCTTTGAAAAAATGATTAGAAATTTCGTACTAGGCGGTTTTCGGGGTCACTAATTACTTATCCGCTGTCAGAACTACATAATTAAAAATGGCGGATCCAGTATGGCGTCTGATAAATTTCGAGCTTTTTAATTAGTTTCTTACAAAGATTTTGAGTATGCAGATTTATAGCCAAAAAAATAAAAAAATATATAACGAGCAGAGATGAGCACCTGAGTTTTGTTTTATTCTGTATACTTTCCTACGTAAACTCTAATAGGTTTAAAAGCAGCATTCGACAGTGTTTTGTTACTGCTGCATTTAACAACTCAAATTTTGTTTAAAAATAAACGAAAAAATACGTTTACATTTTTATTTCTTACAAATTTCTGTTACAGTATTAGTTTTCACAAACTTTTTCCCGTATTTTACTAACCTTCAGACGTAGAATCTATTTGGTTTTTTTTTTGATTTCCTATTCTCTAACGACTTCTATGCGTTAATAATTTTTCGCTTTTTATTACAATATTTTTGTGCTTGGAAGAAGGTTACACTACAAATGAATACCTCTACTTAGGGTACAGGTCGTTACAGTGAACAGTTTTCGCCTCTTAGGTGATCCCTTTAGCCAACTCAATGTTTTGTTTTCTCGAATTTTGGCCGCAGTTTTGGGAATCGACCGCACTATGTGACGTACACCGTCACCACCACGTTCCCACGACAGTCGGGTCTACGTAACCGGAACGACCCAGATTTATATTTGGCCAAGGACTGTCACTCCAGCAACACTCCCCAAAAACTCTTTGGGGAGTTTGTATGCTGCTACAACAACAACAACAACAACTGTAAACCAAGCGCGGGCTATTGCCGAAAAACTTGATTCCGCACCAATAAAAATTTGTTATTTATTTTTTCAGATATTTTGGATATTGTCAAGCGAGTGAACATAGAATTTCAAAGTGAATCATACAGATTGCATAAGTTAAATAGCCATTTTGAAAGTAACTATAAACTTATATTGTCTTTTTTTGTCAAACTAAACTGTGTGCCAAGTAACCCAGCTGGTGCCTTACGGAAGGAACTAAAAGTCACTATTATCTGTATACTTTCTTTGACGAAAGCGATGGGCATAAAATATCAATAGAAAAAACAAAATGTTAATTTTTTAATTTTTTAATTCATTTATTAACTTTATTTATTTTATTACATTTCATATTTCTTTACTTATTATGCTCTAGGTGGTCCCATATTCGAACTCCGTCTGACATAACTTCAAAATGATGATATGAAATTTCGATCTTCCTTTATTTTTCCTCAATTACAAAAAATTTTTGCGAAGAGCAAAATATTTAAATAGAAACGCGTTTAAATAAAACAATCACTTGTCAAATAATTTCATGTTAGCTTTTTGTAGCTAACTACGAGTTATATATTTTATAGAAATACCTCAAAAAAAGCTAACTACAAGTATGTTATTTTTTATCAATTGATAATTTTTTTCTGCAGGGGGTTGACAGAAACTCCAACACATTCACAACGAAAACTAACACATATGCAAAATTGTAAATGTCAGTTTGGCCCTGTAGCGAATGATTGTCATTTGATCGATCAAGTAATTGACAATGCTGATAGAAGTAACGGTAGTTGGTTGCCATAGTAACCGCAAGATTCACTAGGGCTGCATTTTGTGTTCAACAAAAGTAGTTGTACCTGCCAAATAATGTCGAGTAGTGAAGTACTTGGATATAATTTTGAACTTAATTAGTTTAAACTATATTTTTACCATTTATTCGACCCCGTTCTTAGCAAAAGCAAGTAAAAATAAAAGTTTTTATTGTGGTATGAAATTTTTTTAATTAAACGTAATACATAAAACCGTATTATAAAGTACTTGGTACTGAAGAAGTTAAATTGCGCACATCAACAGAAAAAAGAACTACGCTCAAAACTCAAAAGTGCTGTGGAAAAAAAGATAAGTTTCATAAAATATTAAATTTAAAATGAAGAAAAGAGCTTTTAATAACGCAATGTGTACACATATTAGGGACACTACAAGTTCTGACCATTTATTTTTCTTTATTTATTTATCTATACTATATATGAAATTAAAACCAAAACAAAAGTGAGAGCAAAACAGCCGATGTACTGGGTCGATTTCTATGATTCAAGTTTTAAAATGACATATTTCTACCACAGCAGTACCCAGTGGTATTTTTAAAATGAAATTTTAATAATAAGTACGTTTAATTAAAGAAATAAGTTGATCAACAATACCACGCATTGCTAGACCGTTTGCATTTTACGCGTTTGTGTTTAGAGAGCATCAACAAACCCGATACATCTTTCTCTCTATTCTCTTCTCTTTTTATACTCAGCTAGCAAAGCGCAAAAATAAAAATTATATGAAAAAACTTTTAATATACAACGCTTTTGTAAATGGACTAAAAAGTAGAAAATAATATTTCTCAGTCCCATAGAATTTGTTTTGATAACTTTTGATTTTGAAATTTTAGCAAAAGTTATTATAAACCATTTATGAGATTGAAAATGAAAAGCGTGGGGCACATGTAAAAGACCAGAATTTATATGAAGGGCAATATATGTATGTATGTGGATATATGAATAACGACCGCTTAAAATCGATCTCAAATTTGTACTTTCTCTGTAGAAATTTTAGGTCTATGTTATGTAGTTTGACCATTGTAAATTAAATCTAATGCTTTGTATTGCATGCGCCCCACGCTTTTCATTTTCAATCTCATAAATGGTTTATAATAACTTTTGCTAAAATCAAAATCAAAAGTTATCAAAACAAATTCTATAGAACTGAGAAATATTATTTTCTACTTTTAGTCCATTTATAAAAGCGTTGTATATTAAAAAGTTTTTTTTTATATTACTTATTTTCTACTTTTTAGTCTTGTCTGTATAAAATTTTTTATTTTTTATTTTATTTATTTTAATTTTATTTTATTTATTTCTTACAGCTTATTAAGCCTAGTTTATACATAATTCT